CTTTTGGTATGTTATATGATGCATGTGCAAGAGAGAACTATAGACATGATAAGTGTCTTTTTCATTCTCTACAGGCATTTTATTTTCTGGACAAGTCTTGAATATTTATTAATTTGTATATATTTTGTATGTTATGAGTGTTTGGGATGGACATGTCTATGATGTAAATGATTTTTTGTTTTGCTTGTCAGTGAACATGATATCCGGTCTATTGCAACTATGGTTTGTCTGTGATTATAGTTGGTCATAGTATACTTTGTGTGTGTTGTTTTCTAATTTTGTTTGTGGTGTATTTGTGGTAGGTAGGTAGTATGGTAGCAGGGTATGCTTAACTTGAGTAAAATGAAGGCTTACAGGTAGTGTATTTTGTACACTAATAAATATATGCTCTTTTTGCTATTTTTTTTTAAATTAAATTCTAAAATTTGTTCAATATGTTTATTTTTATTTTTTACTTTATTACGGTGATATTTGTCAGAAATAAATGAAAATGGTAAAAATATTTAGAATGAATCAAGCCTTAAAATTAAGTCCCATTTTCTAGTATTTTTTCAAAATTTTGTGTTTCAACTATCCTATCATATTGTTGATATATTGTGATAGAATAGTAATTCTTCACGTTTTGTAAAAGCATACTGATCAATAGCTTGCTATGATGTGTTTTATTTTACTAAAATTAAGATTACAAATTACAAGTTTTTGATAATGCACAATTATATTTCTAAAAAACAAGAGTAAAATAGTACACAGAAATATTTACTGCTAAACAAAAATCGTACTCCACAAGCGCCAACTCCACATTTTTCTTAAAACGGGACCACACAGGCTTCTACTTAGAGGAAAAGAAATTTGTAAATGGCAATAAATTACTAACCAGCCTTTAGTCGTTAACCTTTCTTGACAAATTACTCACAAACATCTAGATAAGAGAAACTTAAGCAAATAGCACAAAATTAAATATTTTCCTGTCATTTTTTTAGAAAACTTGAAATTTTATTAAAATATGACAAACAATAACATCTCAAGGCCCGACAATTATGTACTAAATCACCAAACGATCGCCTAAATATTGGGCTATAATATGGGTAATTAAATGATTGGTATTAAATAAATTGTCACTAGAGGTAGACGTTAGGTGCCATCTCTTAACTATATTAATACTGTAATTATAATTTTAAATAAATTAATTAATAAATTTAGAACCTTCTGGAAGAAAATAATTGACCCAGGGCGGGGCTTGAACTCACAACCTCTGCTTGCCATGCGGTGTGCTGGCCAGTTATGCATAGCAAGTGCACTGCACGACATGTCTAGTAACAAATTTATTTAATAGCAATCATTTAATTAGCTATGTTATAGCCCGATATTTAGGCAATCGTTTGGTGATTTAAAATATTACAATTTATATACATTATCATATCCTGAAAAAAAATATTCCTTTGCAGTTATTATTTTAATAGTAGTTATTCCTATTTATAAACAAAACATATATTTTTTACGTGTTTTTATTTCCATTATACAAAGTTAAAACACAAGAAACTTTTTTTTGTTAAATGTGTATTCAGGATATTAAAATTACAAAACATGTTATTGTATAATATTTCGATAGTGAATTAGGATTAAATTCAAATAAACTTCCAATACTTGTTTCACGACTGTGCTTAATTGCAAATATCAATAATAATAAAAAGATCTAAACAAATAGTTATTAAAGACTTGTCAGTGGCGTTTTTATAAAAATAATTTCCATAAACATACTTTTTTTTAATTAAAACACGAACAAAGTTTTAAAATTACAAATTGTACAAATTTTCGATTCACAAACATTCATTTCCATAAATAAAACAATCTTACTTAGAGTTATATTTTATGCTTTGATGTATTGTTAACTTATAAATCAATCCATATATAGATTTCGTTCAATAGCCCTAAGATAAGCCGTATTGCACAAAACTTATCCCATCTCTCGCTGCATTAATTAAGAAGACACATGAGAAATCACACGGGAGAGCTGCCATATTCATGCCACTTATTTTAATTTAGTTTTTTAATTTGAAGTTGAGATTCCCAACTGTTCTCATGTTTAGAGATGTGTCCAATTGTTTACTCTTAAGTAACAATAAAGCATAACACTATTCTTTTTAACATTGTTNTATTTTAATAGTAGTTATTCCTATTTATAAACAAAACATATATTTTTTACGTGTTTTTATTTCCATTATACAAAGTTAAAACACAAGAAACTTTTTTTTGTTAAATGTGTATTCAGGATATTAAAATTACAAAACATGTTATTGTATAATATTTCGATAGTGAATTAGGATTAAATTCAAATAAACTTCCAATACTTGTTTCACGACTGTGCTTAATTGCAAATATCAATAATAATAAAAAGATCTAAACAAATAGTTATTAAAGACTTGTCAGTGGCGTTTTTATAAAAATAATTTCCATAAACATACTTTTTTTTAATTAAAACACGAACAAAGTTTTAAAATTACAAATTGTACAAATTTAAGATTCACAAACATTCATTTCCATAAATAAAACAATCTTACTTAGANCGATTTGTTTGTAAATGGGGAAGAAATATTACACTTTCAAGTGAAGTGAGTAGAAATTTCACACTACTGCGAGAAAATTTTTCATCAGACCCTGGGTTACCCTCTTCCCTCCAAAGCAATAAACGTTAATTGTTTTATTACTCCAAACGCTTATTTCTGAGTTGTAAATCGACTAATTGACAAAGTTTTGACTTTATTTTACTCATAAAAATGTTTTTTTAAATATTTAACAGATAATATGTAAAGATCTAAGAAAACTAATTTAATTTTTAATGTGATATAGTCGTGTGTTAGGCTTAAATCGATCACCTAATATAAAAATGGACATCGCTCAAAATATTATAGAATCCATCAAAATTTCTTGCCGATAGTTTAGATATAAATGTTTTCTGTGCATGAAATGAAGCGACCATAAAAAATTCGGCAATTTATGACATGATGTCGAATGCGTAAATTCTTTTATCTATAACTAAAAATATTTTTGAAATTTCATCAAAAAAATGCATTTGCAACAATACCTAAATGAAATAGTTAAGACAAAATTTTCGAGACGAATGTCTCACAGTTTACGATTATTAAATGTAATTAAAATTTAAGTATTTTTAAAATTTTTAATTTTTTAGGAAAAGGGTAAAAATTTTAAAAACTTAACGTTCTATTTAATTTGAAACATTTGTTAGCTACATATATTTTCTTATCTTTCGAACAAAAGAAGTCAGAAGGTTCTAAGTCCATTAGTTCTCCCCTTACAAAAAGCAATTGAGACCCCACTGTGTTTATGACCTTGTCAGAGACTTTTAAATTTAAAAGGGGTGTGGCGTTTTTGTTTACATCTACTATCTTATCTTAGTTTTATTGCTTTGATAGTTAAAAACACGGAATAACGGCTTATGTGAATGCGTTGGTGTATTAAATTTATGCGATATAAACAAACAACCCAAATAAAAAAAGTTAACAAAATTTATTTAAATCGTTTACGTGAAACAAACTAATGATACAAAAAATATAAAATGATAAAAATCAAGTATATACAAGAAACATCGTCTATAACTACTAATACAAAAATATAAAAGGAAGAAATATTAAAATATATACATAACATGAAAAGTACTGTACAATCATTAGCAATATTTTCAACACAGGAACTGCATTGNACCAGTATCAATCTCTTAGACTTTAGAAAATTAGAATAGATTGTTGATTTTTTATTTTTGAAAATAAATTGTTAGTTTTTTATTGTTAGAAATAGATTGTTCGTTTTTCGTTGTATATTTATACCAATTATTGTATTGTTTGTCAGTAAAATGAAAAGAGCTACTAAACTAACTTTAGTTTTCTAAAAGTAATGCACAAATCAAGGTTATGAATTTGGTAAGATTTTTTTTGGTAATTAATAATTTATCAAAACAATCAAGAAAAAATCAGAAAAGTAAAAGTGATTAGTTGCTCATGAGTCTGTTATTTTCCTTTGATTACGTAAAGTTTCCTGAACTTTATTTATTCCTGCAATTGTTTTATCTTGTTCTTTATTTAATACGAACAACTATTAATAGAAAAAAAATTCCATTTAGTAATAATTGTTTTTTCTAACTTAATGTTTAGAAAATGAATTTAATTTAATATTTCTACAATAAACTGATTACATTTTGAATTTTATTATCATTGATTTTTATTTTCAAAAAAATTGTTAAAAAACATTTAATACAAATTAATTTAATCAAAATATGAAGAGAAGACAATAAAAATATTATTTGTCAAAATGAGTTATTCGAAATGATCTGAAAAGATTTCAATGTCTGTGATTATGAACAAATGTTAATTGCACCTGTCCTTTCTTACAGAAGTTATAACTACAGTATATTTTTATACAGGAACCAGATACTGTGAAATATCTCGAGAAATACGCATTGTATGAAAAAAGGGTTTGAAACAAACTCTCAGTATTTTGGAGGAGCAGTTGAACCATACAGATTTTAACCAATTTCAGCATTATAACTATAAAAATTTGGAAACATATGTATCTAAATTCTTATAGATTTCTGCAAACCTAGAAATACTAAAGAAAATTTCACCTTAAATAACTATAACCATAACAATAATTAAGATAATATTTAATAATATATATGTGAAAATTCGAACAGTGTTAGAAAATTGATTAATAGAATGAAGGTTTTATTAAATATAGAGAACGGCTTTAATTTAGACCTTAAATTAAACCAAACTATTTCTTGCTCATGAATTATTATTATAACTCTTTCCTTCCAAATAGTGATTAGGTTAAAGCAGTGGTGATATTCAGCGGGTTCGCACAGGTTTGGCCGAACCCGTTGTTAACATTTTCAAAGTTTTCCGAACCTTGTTAAACACATGTAACATTTCTCAATGGTTTTGATTCTTTTAAAAAATATATTAAAATATACGTATTATACTCTGCAACGCTACTAAACTAGAGCCTTCCGATGCACCATTTGAGCAAAAAAAAATTAAGGAAAAATTTTCTGTTAGCGAACCCTTTGTTAAATATTTTGAATATCACCACTGTATAGAAGTGAATGAAATCGAAGAAAATGACATTTTGTCACATAGAAACACTGAAATTCCATAAATCTAACTATGCAATTTATGACAAAATTTACAAAATTAAAATTTTGACAACTTAAATAATGTATACTGCTTCTGTTAATTTTATATATAAATATCATCATTGAAACATGATGGAAAATTCAAATGTGTACTTAGCTCGTCCAATTCTTCCCCATCCAACCATTGATGCCCTTTCTAAAGTTTCTTTATTGTCACTTTGCAAAGCGATTAATTGGACATTTGGTAGAAATTTAAATTTATTGAATTCAGAAGTATCATTTTGTATTATTAACAGTGCAATGTCATTTTGAGAGGATTCTTCTGTGTAGTTCGGATGCTCAATCTTATTTGAAAAATATATTTGTGAGATTTAGCGGGGGATACAGAGATAGTATCCCACTTAATCGGTAGATCAGTTCTCGTTTGTCTATAAGGAAGGCTTTTCTACAAGAAAATATTGAGTGTGGACGGATTTAAGTTGCTAGTAGAAAGGTGGAGACAATGATTTCTCAATCGTGTCACACGTCAGGGTTCCCGACACCAATTAATCGTATTTTAACGCGGATTAACACGCGTAACCACGGAATTTTGTGTATGAGGAACGTAAGCATGTCGAATAGGAAAAAGGGTGAATATTAGACATAAAAAAGATCTGGTATCTTACTTCATTCTTGGGAATTTAGGATGGCACTTGATAAAACGGCTTGCAGCTTGTAGAAATGATGACGGATCTTTCGTAGATTTTCGGTGTTGGCTGTTGGGAGACTCGTAGGAATACGTCCTTCTACTTTGAGAAGTTTTGGTGCATTCCCCGAATAATAAGAAAGAATTCTATTTTTCGCAGATTTCTTCCAATTAGAGTGTAGTATTTTTCCACATGAACAGGATGAGTGGGGAAATTCAGAAGGGTTGACTCTCAGTTTGGTGACTAAATTTTTAGAGAAAGGATGTTCAACTTGGACAGGAAGTGTGGTTTAACGGTTTACTTCTTTTCTGAAAATAAAGTTTTTCATCAAAATTATAAAATATTACTTTCGATATCATTATTTTGGTTAAAATTAATTTAAACAAAAAGGGGGTATTCAAAATCTTACGTATTGTTTGTCCCGAGAACTTATCTGCATCCCAACCAAACGTTCAGAAGCATGACTATATGAATAATTCTAATANATCTGCATCCCAACCAAACGTTCAGAAGCATGACTATATGAATAATTATAATAAAAATTAATAAAGAAATGTGAGATTTTATAATAAGTTCTTCTTAGAAATTTAAGTTTACATCTGTCAGGGTAACGTATTAATTACGAATTTGTTACGTGAGCAGCTTTCAACACAGTTCTTGTTGTAATTAATGTGAAAGTTCCAATAAACGTGCTATTCATGTTGAATTTTAGTTAAGGAAAAGGACCACCTGAAAATAAAAGATTACTACTTTTACTTCAAGCGATATAAATTAAAATGTTTGGTATTTGATTTACCATAAATGGATAATCGGAAATCCACCAATCATTCTTTTTATAATTTTTATAAAAATAACGAAATTGTTATAATTAATCGCTAATTATAATAAATAAATTACAGTTTTCAACTCACCCGATTTATTTCCATTCTCCTCTGCATTTACAGAGTATTATAAAAAACACAAGGAAGATCTTTAACAAGTGTACTGGTTAGTGTTGAATTTTAAAACTACAAAAGTAAAATAATAATTATATTTAAATAAAATAATTTCTGATAATATTCGCTTCCTCGAGTAAACATTAATAATAAAAATATATGCATTGCCGAAATATTTAATTTTTGAGGAAATTTTACATATAGTGACAAAGCAAAATATATTTTTAAAGCTTTGGTATAGCCGTTTGAAAGTATTTCATATATTCGAATTAGTTGCTACTGAAATGATGAAAATACATATGCTAATTGTTGAAAATAGTTATCTCATGATACAATTATAATTTATTGCAGCCAATTAGTTTATTGCTTAAATATTTGTTAAGCTGCGGATTTGATTGTTAAACAGCCAATAGAGAATGGAAATCGCAGGCTGAATTAAAGAAATTACAAATAAACTTTATTAGTAAACAGCTTAATTTAAACACATCTACATTTTGTAGTATATGCATAGAATAAAAAATTCACGGATCTTTTGAGGGGTGCAGAGAGAAAACAGTATGACGTGATGAATGTTTTACAACCTTCGTAAAAAATTCTGTGTAAGGTTGTAGAAAAGTTGTGGCTTTTTTCGAGTCAAGCCACTAAGAATAGTGCAGATAAGTCCAGCTCCTTTCTGAATTTGCTTATAAATCTACATCCTCTTTAATGGTTGATGAATGAAAGGTAAACAAATGCAAATTATAATATCGCAAGCGGGTAATTTTACCGGTTTGAAATCATTACAGTTAGCCTGAGGTTGGATAATTGGGATGTCAGAAATGGGAGCATCATATCGTGAAATTGCCTGAAGGACTGGCCGTAGTTACTGCCAGAGTCGCCCCACGGACAATTGTAAACTGATTGCTTGATGCTGGGCTGAGATTTTGGACCTCCCATGCAATGTGTTCCCTTAACCAGATTTCATCGCCAACAACGGCTAACGTGGTGTGCTGCTAGACGTAACTGGACACATGAATAGAGTCAGTTGTGTTTAGTGATGAATCCCGATTCTGTTTAGGCCAATGTGATAGTCGGCAACATGCCCGCCAGTGTGCTGGAGAAAGAGCCCATCCTGCTGTGATTTCAGAATGCCACTCAGGTCCAACTCCTGGTGCCATGGTTTGGGGACAATCAGTTACGACAGCAGGACAAAGTTGGTGGTTGTTGAAGGCACAATGATCGCCTGCCAGCATGTGGACAGGGTGATCCATCCAGTAGTCATACCTTTCGTGAACGCCACTCAAAACGGTATCTTCCAACAAAAAATTACCCTCATGCTACTGCCATCCCATGACAGGCCTTGCAAAGTGTCGCAATCATGGATTGGCCCGCCAGTCTCCAGATTTATCTCCTATAGAGCATGTCTGGGATGCCATGGGTAGACGGATTACGTCTCATAGCCATTTAGGGTGCACTGTACAACAACTGTTTGCACAAGTTGTGCAGGCATGGAGAGATATACCCCAACAAGACATTCAAGCACTTATTGTTTCAATGCCTGCAAGGATCCAAGAGTGTATCCATGCTCACTGTGGCCAGAATACCTCTTACAGAAACATGTACCAAACAGAAATAAAAGTTTGCGTAATTCATCTCATTTTCTGTTCATTCCTTCTGGATATGCCTCTGTACATGTTTACCAAGTTTCGTGAAATTGTATCAATTCCATCTGGGTGTAACACTTTCAATTTCTGCCAGTGTACTATACGTATACTGTTAACATTTATATATAACTAGCTTTTGCCCGCGGCTTCGCTCGCGTTAAGAAGTATTATTATTAATTAGGTATAGTTTTTGCGGCTTCACTTTCGTTTAGCGTGTGTAAAAAATTAGGGCCTACAAAACTTCTTTGTACAACTATGTACAAAGGGTACAATATAATCCCCGCAAAAACTATACCTAATTAACCCCCGTCAAATATAATCCGCTAGAAATATTTAGGTATAGTATGTACTATTAGATACGGCGGCCACTCATCATCGGGTATATGTAACTCAGTGAAAACACAACGATAGCGCGTTTTAAAATACTACTAACGCCATCTATTGTCAACATTTAGAACTAAAAATTATTTTGTTCGTCTTAATTTATTCGTTCCATTAGGTACTGATAGGTTCAAACTAATACATTTACATCCTCCATCATCCCTTATTTTATCCCCATGGGGGTTGAATTTATCAAAATCCTATTTAAGCGGACGTCTTCATCATAGTAGCTCCAATCTTTAATTTCAGTTCAATCAGTCGAAAATCTAAGAAGATTTATACAAACTTTCATCCCCTATTTTATCCCCTTAGGGGTGGAATTTATCAAAATCCTTTCTTAGGGGATGCCTACGTCATAGTAGCTTTATGCATGCAAAGTCTCAGCCCGATCGGTTTAAAATTGACAAAGTTTCATACAAACTTTCATCCCCTATTTTATCCCCTTGGGGGTAGAATTGATCAAAATCCTTTCTTAGCGGATGCCTACGTCATAACATCTACCTGCATGCCAAATTTCAGCCCGATCCGTCCAGTGGTTTGGGCTGTGCGTTGATAGATCACTATGTCAGTCACCTTTGAGTTTTATATATATAGATTTGGTTTATATATATTCTGTCTATTCTTACTAGTTATTAGCTTAAATTTTAAATAACAGAAATTTATTTCTGTTATTTAAAATTTAAGCTAATAACTATTTGGTTACTATTGTATTCAATAGTAACCAAAGTTTCGTGTTTTCTATTATATAAATGTCATTTAAACTAACGTTTATTAATTAATATATATTCGACTGCGGCGCGTATAGAAAACGAAAATAGTATTTTTTCCGCATGCGACTGGAAATCTAATTTAAATAGTTATTTCAACGATGATTGCTATCGTGACGTCTAATGATGCGAGGCTAAGTCGGCCCACTGACTTTTCAATCTGTAGTCCTACCGCTGATTGGTCGAGCCGTCGAGTTTCTTTAACACAAAGTTAATCATCTGTCGATCTGCCGAGTAGCTTGTTCGGCAACCGAGCGTAAATAAGTCATAAATTTTGTTCAAAATTTATATTAATACTAGCTGCAAGGACCCGCTTCACTGGGTTTTTAAAAAGTAACGATAGTGAAGATTAAGATAATTACATTATAGCCAATCTTACCCGTTTTCACAGAATGCAAGAATTAGGTCCCCCGTTTCCAGACTAATTAGAGAATTTTTACGTTTAGTCAAACGAACTATTTTCAACGTTTCTGGAACGTTTACAATCGTTCTATAATCGAACCAATATTCGAATTTTATGTTCGAATTTAATTCGAACAAATTCGAACAAAACATTCGAAATAGAAAGCCACTTTCAACCTCATATCTCCTGAACCCTTATAGCTATCGAGACGCAACCCCCCTGGTGCACGAATGGAGACTTGGGGCCACTACCACATACAAACACCATTCACGTGCGATGTGTAGTTTTGGCGGAAAAGTGAAATATAGGGACATACATGTCCATTTATATATATATAGATGTAGATATAGATAATAATTTATTAATATAAATTATTCAAAAAGCGTAGCCTTCGAAATCCGAGGTTTGATTGTATTGTTATGCTTATATGCCATCTTATCCTATCGTTGTGATTAGCTTTTTCTGCCCCGATCTATTTTACGAACGTTAAAGAAAAAAAAATTCAACCTATTTATAAAGTTACTTATATTCAAAGACAAAAAATTAAAAATTTACTTATTACTAAATTTTAAATCATATTCAATACATGTCTGTCATTTACATCAAAATTTATGACAAAATATTCATTCGCATTTCAAATAATATTCAAGCGAAAAAATTCGAATGAAAAATTAAAATAAACATACTTTTCTACAACGTGTGCTGCTCCTATAAACTTATTTGTTGTGATGAAAAAAAAAGCACCATTAAAACTTTCTTTTCTAAATATTGCTACCTAAATGATATTAACATTTCTTGTAAGTACAGTTGCAAGAGCTGAAATGTTTACACCTATAAACTCACCAGAAATGGAAATTTTCCTTTTTCTGCCTCCCTTCCTCCAATCATCCTGCGTTCAATTACTAAAATTATACAAAGTTTTATCAGTTAGCGACTGTCGGGGTGGAAATCGTCTGGCACACGATTTTCCCGCGTTTTTCCAACCGTTCGACTAACGGCGGTTGTCGCCATAGAAACGGCGATCATACGATATCGGACCACTTTTAAAGATTCGACCGCTCATTGGTTGAGCGACATCACGCCATCGGCGGACGTCTTTTAGAGCTGCTAAGAGCTGATTGGTGGAAGCCAATTCTGCTTCAATCATATAAAAGCATTGGGTGGTGGCAGGAAGTTCAGTTTGCCTTGGACGTTTGAAGGGAACTCACGTTGGATCTTAGTTCGCCGAAGCTTGTAAATGTTTGTTTTGTGAACCTTTGTAACTGTACATACGTTTAATTTTTCAATATATATATATATATATCGTTTTGAATTTTAACTGAGATATGTGTGTGTATTTTGAACTTTACTGCAACTTTCTCACTTAGAAAGACATTCATCATTATTTTTACTTCATTCAATCATTTAAGCAATTATTGTTCACTTTACTCTTATACAGTGGTGATATTCGAAATATTCAACAAAGGGTTCGCTAACAGAAAAGTTTCCCTTAAAGCCCCAATCCCGAGATATCTCGGGCAACTTACATAGCGTTACATAAAACTCGAGCGTTTGAACCCTCTACATTTTTTAATTTTTGGAATGTATTTTGTCTCCAAATTTTTTTCCCGCGCGAAAGAATTTTATCGCGATTTTAATTTATCTTTAATGACGCACGATTCACGCTTAATTGCTTTTTAATTGTTTTTTAATGAGAGTTTGATATCAAATTTTATTAATCGTTCTAAAGTTGTAGTGCACAAATTTTTCTTCGGTAAAGTTATTTAAAGCTAGTTTCTAATGTCAAAAACGACCTCCGATAGTTTTAAAATTTTTTTAATTAATATATTTTATTATATAGTCTATAAGTTTAATTAAGTCGGGGGGGGGCGAAAATCGCAATAAAAATTTTAATTTTTTAAAAATATACGGCCAGCTAGTATTCACCCTACTATAAACCCATCGCCTCCCGAGACTTCTGAGAGAATGTCCCGGGAAATCCAACTCCAGCTGTGTTCAAGGTCATCCAGCTGTGTAAACAATGACTCATCAGCGTCAGATTTCGCAGAAAGGCGAAACAATGGAAAATAAAATCTGAAGCTTTCTCTTCAAAATTAACGCATTTCTTTCGTTTTTTTCAGTTTTAAGTATATTTTTTATGTTTAATTACATTAATATCAAAAATTGCTAGAGTCCCGAGGGGTTAACTGCTTTCCCTGTGACTTTTTCTCAAGAAAAAACTTTTCTAAATCATTTATTTTATCATTAGGTATTATTATAATAATAGACAGATGTCATCGTTTCTCGAAATACAATATCTTTTTTATTTCGCTGTCGATAGCCCGACACGTGTTCCGCAGCCATCTTGTATTTTCTCGCGCGCGTGGGATTGTGGGATCTCTCGTATGACTGGACCTAGTTTCAAGAACTCTCTTGAGTCGATCGCGATTAAATCTCGTTTCAGTCGAGATTGAAACGGTCGATGGAGGTTGCACCATGGCGAACGGGGTATAAGGCTCTAGTTTAGTAGTGTTACAGAGTATAATACGTATTTTTAAATATATTTTTTAAAAGAAACAAAACCACTGAGAAATGTTACGTGTGTTTAACAACGGGTTCGAAAAACTTTGAAAATTTTAACAACGGGTTCGGCCGAACCTGTGCGAACCCGCTGAATATCACCACTGCCCTTATATATTTCTATCTTCTCCATACCCAACGCAATCGTCGGAGAATGGACCGTCTTAACTCTTCTCGCTTCATCCCATTTCATGTTTCCTCCTTCTGTTTGTGCCATAACTGTCAAAACTATGTTACAGTATTATCTCTAATACACAAACCTAATTTCTTGTATTGCACTAACGTACAAGATCGACTTAGGGAGATAGGCATAATTAAGAAAGTGGCAAAAGGTTTAGGATTCAGAACAACAATCGAAGGATTGATCAAGAGTTACAAACAATATGATAGGAGCAGACGAGATGATAGGAGGGATAAGTTCACATACAGTAGGAGTATGGAGGGAGTGATGGAGGAATTAAGTAGATATAAAAACACAAAAACGGTGTATAAAAGAGCGTCAAACATATACAGACTGCTAAGGAATGATAAGGACGAAGTAAAAATGCAAGATAAACCCGAGGTCTATAAAATTCCTTTTGAGAATCAACAATTGGGGGTGACGAAAGATTATATTGGAGTCACTAGAAAAAGCTTGGCAGTATGTTCAAAAGAGCACAAATATGATGTGAATACTGAACATAATAACACAGTTTTGGCAGTTATGGCACAAACAGGAGGAACCATGAAATGGGATGAAGCGAACCAGTGAAGAAAAGATTCAAGCATCTAAAAACAAAGCATGATTTGACTGACATATGGCGTCATCATTTTATACAATAAAATTTATTGGGGGAACCCAGTGGCAAAGCAGTTTGTTCCCTGAACACTGGGAGTTTAGTCTTGGGTTAGCTCTTTGCCAGGATGGGCTGGCCACGTGGAGTGTTCCAGGTGTCAGCAATTGCCAATAGTGTAACCAAGCAATTGGCCATCCTCACATACAGCTCTGTAAGGTTACCTCACTGATTGCATATAGTACTACACTTCTGCCTCACCTTCATTTTCTATAGACCATGCTTAGCATAGTATACCATCTAGCATTCCTTCAATCCCAATCATAGTTCTTTTTTATAGAGGCAAGCTTTGTGACCTTAAACATTTGGCATTATGGTTTCTCCTTTATTTATCTTGCAGTGGACAAATTTAGAGGCTCTGCAATATACTATTGGCAAGGGCATTCATGTATGATAAGTCCTTGAATTATCAATGTGCTATATGATTTAGAAACAACATTTAAAGAATAGGAAGCTTCAAGTAAATAAAGTTTTCCAGAATTCCTTTACCCAGAACAGCAAATTTGTTGGAAAGGAATCTTTCCTTTCACCCTGGAGGAATTGCAATCCTCTATCACCCATCACCTCAAGGTTGATATTCCAGACAAAAACTTTTCCTCCAGTTACTTAGTGAGATATGTTTTAATGAAAGTATGCAAGTCTTGGAACAAATGGCTCCTAAGCAATGGAAACCTCAAAGACACCCAGTTGCCCAGCATTAATAATATTTATCCGACTTAAACTATACATTGGTGCTATATGATCTTTATAGCCAAAGCTTGAGCCCTCCACACTGCATTCGATTTGGCATTGGGATTACAAAGAGAGAATGGCAATCTTTGCTGACAGTTTAGTGGTTCTTGTTGCTCTTAGGAAAGTTACTTACATTGTCCTTACTAGTCATTAATATTGCAGCAGCATTAACATATCATAAGTATCTCAAACTCCTCATGTAGACTCACAGTCATATCAGAATTTCATTAAATGAACAAGTTGATGAGACAGCCCTGCTCCTGCTAGAGTGTACATCACTCCACTATTCAATGGCATGATGCAAACACTTTGGCACAGTCAGCCAGAGATCTGGAACAAGTCAGCACTTTCTTTACCGTATAGTTTAGAATTAATGGATACATATGTTACTTCATCTATTCTTAATTTTTATAACTATTAATCTTATATTTCATAATTAGAACCTTAGACTTCATAACTATAGTAACTATGGCTTAAGCTTGTAGTATCTAGAATATTTGAATATATATTTAGTCAGCAATATTGTTGTTGAAATTATAGATTTAAAACAGTTAAAAAAAACTGTTCTAGATATGGGAATAGTTGTCTTAGGCTGCGTACACACTAGGCGTTTTTAAACGCACGTTTTAAAGAACCAAGAGTTCTACTAAAGCGCCCGACAAACATGCATTTTAAGAAAAATCTATAAATGCGCGCTTGGCCAAAAGCGCGCGTTTGAGTGTGTATGCCTATGTAGAACTCTAGGTTCTTTAAAACGCACGTTTAAAAACGCCTAGTGTGTACACAGCCTTAGTCTTGAACTAAGGCTGCGTACATTATCATATCTGTTTTTTTCTATCCTAAATACTAAAAAGATTTTCAACAAGTTCATCATGGAATTGGTTAAGCCCACAAAAGAGCAACTGGATAATAAAGGAGGTTTGACATATTCATGTAAATCAACCAAGAAAAAGTTCCCAAAGGATCCAATTCAGATCTCTGCTATATGCTTTGGCATGTTTCAGATATTCAACTGTCAGAAGAATCTGTTTAAAATCACTTATATACAAGAGAAAAACTAAAAATAAAATGACTTTATTATGCATAACAATAATTTACATAATATTGAAAAATATATGAACATATATTTAGCAATGTAATGAGTTTGAAATATTTATAAGTCTATGAAAATTTAAATTATGTTATTCTTATTAATATAAGTAAAAAAAATAAATGTATTTTTATTTAAAGCAAATAATAATATAACACAATTTGTTTTATATTATTCTGTCTACAAATTTTAAAGAAATTAAATATATGATTCTGTAAAAATTATTTTTATTATATAA